TGACCCTCAGTATCTGCTTCCGGTGAGGGCAGAGAGAAGGCGTGCACTTCCTCAAGATCTGTGGTTGGGTCATGTCCTAACTTCTCCCCCTAACCCCACCACCTGCTGGTTGTTGAGGTGATAGATCTACATGAAGTGGCTTAAGCACCAGCAGGAAAACCACCCCCAATCCTGGTCTCTCGGGAGGCATGTTCTCGGTTACACGGGCAGTCTGCGGGCTTACTGAAGGCGGTCACCCCTCTCTGGGTGTTTGACTGTTCAGCTCCCAGTGGAAGGCACTGTGCCAGAGCCAGGTGGAATATTTTCCTTGGCCGACAGCAATGTGCTTTCACACTTTGCTGTGGGAAAGTCAGGGAGTTCAGTCACCGAAGGGCATTTTGGACTGTGAGACACTTCAGCGAATCGCCACTGGCTGCCAACACTGGAACCCTGAAAACCTGTCACCTGGGTGGCTTCCTTCAACTGATTTCCTTTGTTTGAAGGTTCCTGCAAGCGGCAGACCAACGGTTTGCAGAATTTGCCTCAGGGGAAAAAAATGGTGCTTGAGTCCTAACCTTGCATTTCTCTGGTTTTACTAACTGCCTTTGGAAATTCTTCACCTATTTGTTTTCTAAAGTGGTTGGTGCCTAGCAGGGATTTATTAAAGAGAGACCAAAAAATACAATCTAGGGTTCATGTGAAGCATAAATATTTCAGGATGATGTTCACTAACTTTGGCAATTTCTGACTAGTTATTTGTTTTAACTTTTTTTTTATTTCATATTTTAGTGTGAGATGTCATTTTAACTCTGGAGACCCAAAGACTATTGTTATTATGGAAAACAAAGCTTAAGAGCCAACAGTATTTTAGAAAGAACTCCCTCTTTTCAGACTATAATCTTCGGCCCCTGTGGGTTGTCCTTGTAAGTCCGTGACTGACATGCCCTTAACCTCAAGGTTTGCGAGTTTTACTGAGGATGAATGTGTCAGCTCCCCCAGAGCTAGGGCGGTTCTTAAGAGCAGGAACAGCAGGCTTTGCTTTCTCTGCACAGACTCAGAATTTCTGATCTAGTGGCAATGAGTGAATTAGAACATTCTTCTAAGTAATGAAAGTACAAAAAGGTATAAGGTATGATCCTGCCCGCACCGAGCTGACAGGCTCATGTGGCGACAGAAATGATCAAAGCTGGCTGTTGTGAGTAGAAAAGAAGGGTGATAGGATGATGGGCCAGCGGCAGCTTCAGCGTCAGGGAGCAGTAGGCAGAGGTGGAAACTAGGGAACTGGGGAGGGCAGGCTGTGCTCCAGAGAAGCTGGGTGTCTGCTTGGAGTTGTAAACCTGACTTCCAAAATGCAAGCAATTAATTAAAGCTACCAAATAATAATTCAGATTCACCTATCGCTGCCTGAAACACGTCTGTGCACTGAATACTGACCCTAGGCCGCCAAGACCCAGTGGGGAAACTGAGGTAAACAGGAGGCAAAGTCTTGCATGGCCACGCCTCCCCAGAGACGTTCAGCTTTCCCATCCTGCAAAAGTGGATTCTATAGACTCTGCCCTTGACCCACAGGAAGGAATCCTTGAGAGTCTGTGCTCAGGGCAACAAGGTAGGGAATGACCCTGACGTTCCCCTGGAGGAAGGTTTGCCTGCAGAGGGACAGTGCCAATACCTTTTCTGGAAACAAAAACTTAGCTTTTTGCGGTGAACTCTGTGAGGCTGAGGCAGAAAGAGCGCCCTCTGGGGCAGCAGCACAGAACATGGGTTTGGGGGCTGGAACTGATGGGGCTGAATCCCAGCTCCACTGTATGCGGGCTCTGGGACTCTGGGCAAGTTGCCTAACTTCTCTGAGCTTAAGTTTTCTGATTTACACAATAAGGGCAAGAATCTCTACTGGAGAGGAAGGATGAGAGAGCGGCATGAGTCACTGTATGTGGTGCTGGGGCTGGCACACAGTTACAGTTTTTACCCAGAGCTTACTATTATCATTTACAGTAATAGTTACAGTGTGAGTGGGGAGAGAGACGGCCAGTTGTCCAGACAACCAACATTAATGGCGTGTAAATGTGACGGACAGTGATCTCCGTGAGCCAAAAGCAGAGCTTGGCACCCCGACTGAGGAGAACAAGAGAGCCACCCACGTCCCACTCTCAGAAGGCTTCCACCAGCCAACGGGGCTCAGACACAGGTAGGGTTATTGCTCTGGGTCTCTGCTGACCCCGGCTCAAGGCTGCCAGCTCTCAACATTTAGAACAGCCCCTGATCTGGTGAAAACACTAACCTTCTGACACAATTTTGGTCAAAACTGTCCTCTCTCTCCAAAGAAGACCCTCTCATCGCATAGCCGGGAGTAGCCTGAGGTCTTGGCATGAGAGGTGACTGGAAGGGAGAAGACCCTCCACCTGCTGCACTGGAGGCTTCCTGATTTCTGGGCTAAAGAGCCACACTTCCTTCAGGGCCAGTGTTTCTCCACAGTGATCAGGCAAGTCACGAAAACAATCCCATCAGTCCCCAAGGCTCCCGTGTGTATTTTCATAAGAGTGGTAGTCGTGATGACCGTGACTCTTGTCATCAGCGTGCTTTGAATGTATGGGGTGGGTGGGAGGGCTCTTGGCTCTGCAGATGTGACCTGTGGCCTTATCCAGTTCTCCTGGAGAGAGGTAGCCAGTGTGCCCCCCAAGTGAGGCCCAGAGGCACCCCAAGGGGCCACTGCACAGATTCACACAGCTGCGGCTCAGGAAAAGGGGAGTCCTACCCACCACTGCTTACGGCGGCAGGCTCTCCTGGGCCCCTGGCCTACTCCCCTGACACCCTTCAGCACTGTGGGTAAGAAAGCAGCTTTAGGAGCCGGACCAGCCAGGTCTGAATGTGTGCTCCCCTCTGTGATCAGGGCTCAACCTCTCCACACCCTGGGGTCATCATGAGGATTACATGAGTTAACACGTGGATCGTGCTTAGAACAGTGACTGGCATGAAGCAAAGTTCAATAAACGTTGGCTTTTTATTAACATTTAGTATTATTTACCAGTACCAGTGGCTTCCCAGATGGCGCTGGTGGTAAAGAACCCACCTGCCAATGCCAGAGACGTGTGTTTGACCCCCCTGATTGGGAAGAGCCCCTGATGGAGGGCATGGCATGCTACTCCAGTATTCTTGCCTGGAGAATCCCCATGGACAGAGGAGCCTGGCAGGCTATGGTCCATAGGGTCACAAAGAGTCGGACATGACTGAAGTGACTTAGCACACACACACTGGTACTATTAGGTTGGATCATATGAAATTGCTGACTTCCATTTCCCACCTATAAAAATGGCATCTTCGTAGAGATGGGTGGTTCTTAAAGGGGGTGGAGGACAATTCTGCCTCCTCCACATATCTCCTCACCCCAGGGCACATTTGGCAATGGCTGGAGACATTTTTGATTGCCACGACTGTTGGGGGGAAGTGGTGCTACTGGCACCTGGGGGGGTAGAGACCAGGGATGCTAACATCCTTCAGCCACACAGGCGTGCCCACACAACAAAGGGTTACCCAGCCCCAAATGCCCACAGTGCTAAGGCTGAGTACAGGGCCAGCTTACAGTATTCCACCATGCACAGGTTAACTTTCTTGAAACATCCCTTTCCCAAACTGATGGCTTCCACTGGCTAGAGAATAAAAGCTAACTTCCAACAGGCTCTGGCCTCCAATTCACCTGCAGATTAGTCTCCTCCCTGCTGTGGCCGCACTGACCCATAACAGTATAGTACAGCTAATAAAATAAGCCGGAAGTGCACGCAAAGGGTGGGGGTGCATGAGTGTCCAGGCCTTGAGTAACTTCTCTGCTTTCCCTATTAGCCTAAGTCCAACACCTGCTCTAGAAGGCTTTACTTATGTGCCTTTCTTGCCCAGTTGGGCTGACCATTGCAATCACTGGTGGCTTTTAACCAATGTGACTCCAGGGTCCCATCCCTAGAGATTCTGATTCAGTCGGTGTGGGTGGGCTCAGCTATACTTTAAGAAGCAACCCCCCCTGCACCCCACCCCCCGCCACCTCATGCTGGGCCTGCTATGCCCATCTTTATTCCCAAGTTGTTCTGTCCTGCTGCCAATCAGGCACACCAACCCTTTGTGTGCCCTTCTGGCTTATTTTATTAGCTGTGAGGTAAAGATGCCAGAGGGCACAGACCTCACCTCTGAGCTACTGGCCACTCAAAGGGATCCAACCCAGTGTCTTGCTCTCCAAAAATTCTAAGTAGTGAATTAAACTTGAATCCAAGATTGGGAGTTTGGGATTAACAGATGTATACTACTATATATAAAACAGGTAAGTAATAGGGACCTACTGTATAGCACAGGGAACAATATTCAATATCTTATAACAACCTATAATGGAAAAGACTCTCAAGAAGAATACATGTATTATATGTATAAGTATATAACTGAATTGCTTTGCTACACACCTGATACTAATACAACACTGTAAATCAACTATGCAGATGCGCTCAGTCATATCCGACTCTTTTGCAACCCCACGGACCATAGCCACCAGGCTCCTTTGTCCATGGGATTTTTCAGGCGAGCATGCTAGAGTGGGTTGCCATTTCCTCCTTCAGGGGATCTTCCCCACCCAGAAATGGAACCCTCATCTCTGGTGTCTCCTGCGTTAGCAGGCAGGTTCTTTACTGCAGAACCACCTGGGAAGCCCAAATCAACTATACTTCAATTAAAAAAAAAAAAAAAAAGGAAAAACCTCACTTGAATCCAGGAAGTTTTAGACTTTATGGAACCCAGGAGCCACCTGAGATGCTTGCTAAAAATGCAGACACCCAGGCTCCACGTCCCAGGATTCCTGCCTCAGTGGCTCTGGGCTGGGACCAGCAGGGTTGAAGCCGGTGTCCCTCAGCCCACTGTTCTGGTTCTCCATTATGTTTGGCTCCAGGGCGCTCAGGCAGCTCTGGCATGGCTTGTGGAGGTAAATGCTGTTTTAAGTGGTGGCTGGGACGCCTGCAGCCCCAACACCGCAGAACCACAGGGACACTTACACACACGCGGGCTTCTCCTCCTGCACCAAAAACCTGCAGGTTCCATGGAAGCAGAACTGACGGTGGGAATCTGGGCAGTCATTAAAATGGGACACCACAGCTGCAGCCACGGGCGGGTCTGCTGGGGAGAGAGAAAACACGTGGCTCAGATTCAAGGCACAGCAAGACATCCCACAGGTCCCCGCCCCCCTGGAGAAGGGGCCCGGATGGCTGGGCTTTCTGGTCCCTCCCAGCTTCTCCTCCTCAGCTCTCATGAATTATCTAATGGCCAGTCCAGAACCTGCTTGTGAGCTTGCCAGGGGGCTTTACTTACTTAGCTTTGTAGGAAACAAAACAGTCTCCCCAAAAGCCTCAGTGTAATTCAGAGAGATCACAGCAATTTTACTATTTAAAGCCTATTCCCCAAGAACGACCTAATTTTACTTTTGCAAAATAATAGAGATCATTTTTTCAAAAGACAGCCTCCATAAAAATCTGTTTTAAAAGCAGGAAACTGAAGAAAGGTACAAAAGAGTACTATTTAACCATTCAGTTGATGCTGAGGAAGAATTATGATGCAAAAAGGTGTTCATGATATATAACTGTAAGAGAAGGAATACATTTCCAATGTTGTCTGTAGAGTATGATTCTATGTAAACAAACAAATTTAGACCTGAAGAAGTCTGGGAAGGATGACAGAAACACGGTGGCATGTGATCACGCCATGAAGATGACTTAGTGCAAACACGTTCACCTGGGCATGGCACAGGCAGGACTGGGAGAGCCAGGGTGGTGGTGGGGAGAGTTGGGTCCACTCAGAGCTCTGTGGCTCTCAGGAGCTTGGGGCATCATCAGACCTCTCAGGCTACTCAGAAGCACTCTAAGGAACCACACGTCGCCTACTAACCAGCCCAAAGGGATTTATTAGACTCCAATATCCCTGCTTTGTCCAAATAACCCTTCAGACACAGTAGGCAGCTATTTCAAGATGGCATAATAGATGTTTTTGTTGCATCTTTCAAAAGATTCTCTTATATTTGTGTTTGGGCATTTAGGGAGTAAGTCGTTCTCATATATTTTTTGGAGGGAAAAACATATGTGCCTGGAGCTCTGGCTTTTTTGAGTGAATCAAACTCCAATTTCATATTGTAAGATTTTCAACCATCATGAAATAGTAAACTCATGTTGCTATCTATTTATGATTTGCTTCTAGAAGCATTACCATTTTGGAAAACTCATAATTCCAATGGAAAAAAACAGAGCCTAAAAAGTACAGCTTTGATGCTTTCGAATTACGGTGCTGAAGGAGACTCTTGAGAATCTCTTGGACTACAAGGAGAATAAACCAGTCAATCCTAAAGAAAATCAACCCTGAATATCCATTGGAAGGACTGATGCTGAAGCTCCAATACTTCGGCCACCTGATGTAAAGAGCTGATTCAATGGAAAAGAGCCTGGTGCTGGGAAAGATGGAAGGCAAAAGGAAAAGGGCGAGGCAGATGATGAGATGGTTAGATAGCATCACCAACTCAATGGACATGAGTTTGAGCAAACTCCAGGAGACAGTGAAGGACAGGTAAGCCTGGTGTGCTGCAGTCCACAGGGTCACAAAAAGTTGGACGTGACTTAGCGACTGAACAAGAAAAAATACAGCAGAATCCTTGATGCAGAGAGCCCTTAGAGGCCATGACCTTGGGCTGAGGAGGCAGAAAGACAAGGATGAGGGTTCTGCCTCTGCTGCCTGGATGCCGTTCTGAGCTTCCACCTGGGAGGCGGCGAGTCCTCTGCCTCGTGGTGGCTCTGAGGTTGAGTGAGGCCAAGCCTAGTAAGTACTATGCTCACTGTTAGCTCTTCTGTTATCAGCACCCACAATCCCATGATGCTAATGAGTCCCACATGTAACCAGACCACTGTCATATAATCTCCTCCTCTCCCCCTAAGTTCACTGCAGTGCAACTAAAAGTCCAGGGGTGCCTTTCAGTCACTGAAGATAGCTGCTTTCACATGTGAAGATCAGCAGAGAAGCCCAAAGCCAGGTGAAGGTGGCAACCCAGGACAGTTGGCCAGCCCTGTTCCTGCCCAGCACGTCCCTGCCCAGCACGTCCCTGCCCAGCAGTCGCCTCCAGGACACGGGGGCTGACTACAGTTATCTGCACGTCCTGGGCCCAGGTGGTTCATGAGTGGCTTGGCCACTTGCTGACAGCAGACACTGGGATGATAAGTTGAGGCTGAAAGGGTCTGCTGTAGGTCACATAACCAGCATTTCTGTGCTCACTAAACTCATCAAGGGGCAAATATGGAGAGACGAAGGACCTGGAGACCAGTGGATCTAATTTGATTAGATGTCGAAAAAGGCTTTTGATAAGCTCTATGAAAGGCTTTTTAGACAACCCCCTCCAAGTGGCTATTGTGAGTCCCTTGTCAAGGCTCACAGCCAGGCTCCTTCACGTATGATCTGTGGGCCGACAGCTTCACATCCCTGCAGCTTGTCAGAAAGCCAAGTTCCTGGGCCCCACCCTAGACTACGGGGTTAGGATCCTTGGGGTGGGGTCTAGGAATCTGTGTGACAAGCTGCCCAGCCCAAGTGACTTTTTTTTAAAAAAGTCAGGTTTATTGAGACAGAATTGACATACAGTACCTTTTGCCCTCCAGGTGATTCTGATGGGCAATCATCACCAGAACCAAACTAGCATCACAGGAAACAAAGGAGAGAGACAAAGGCGTCTTAGAAAAGAAAAACAGCAGGGCTCCTGAAAAGCACGCTTGTTGGAGCCGATCATCTTCCAGCTCTCCAAGCTCCTTTGTGATACTGAAGCCTACAATCCACTGACGGTCCTGGTGGTGAAGTGTCAGGTCAATAGAAACATATTAAAAGGAACACTCGGAATCTGTCTTTGGGAACACTACTCCCCAGAGCTGATGGGGCGGGAGGAGACTCAGTGTCGCAATCTTGTATTTATGGATATTTTGCCTCATCTCATAAATGACTTGAGGCTTTATAAAAATAGGTACCATAGAAAGGAGATGCAAGTGAGAAAGACGTATATGTGTGTGTGTGAGAGAGAGAGAGAGAAAGAGAGAGAGATGGAGAGGGAAGGAGGGAGAATTGGGTGGGAAGGGGAGGAAGGAGAGAAGATACACAGAAGGGAGAGAGGGAAGGAGAGACAGATAGAGAGAGGGGCAGAGGAGGGAAGTGGGGGAAAGAGGAAGGACAGAGAGACAGAGACAGACAGGCAGTAAGAATGGGAAGGACAGAGCAGACAAAGGAATACAAGGGCAGGGGTCTAAAAGAACCAAGAAGTCAGGTATCATGAAGACACGTCAGAGAGTCCTGAGCACGTGCCTCCACGCCTCCAGGCCATCTAAGCAAGGATGCACACAGTCCACTAGATAGAAATGCACCCATTTTGCATATGCAGGACAGGCTCAGCTTTGCCCGAGTCTATGGTCAGAGAGCAACTTCTGCAGCTGCTTTTGAAGGGGACTTCAAGTGTTATGGTGGACGACATCTTCCAGGAGGACAACACAGAGACACTTGCCAATGTCACTGTCTACTGTTCAATAGCTAAGAGCCAAAGAGCCCAGGCCATGGGGAAACTCCCTGCCCTCGTCACAGTGATGAAGGCGAATACCTGCTGGTTTGCTCTCTGCAGTCAGAGAGCAGCGTGAGGTGGGGAGTCTGATGCTTAGAAGGTAGCCTCCCGGTCCTCAACAATCCCACTGTTCTGACTCAACCCCTGGTGCTGAGAGGACCAAGGGATGCTAAGTGATGATCATGATCACTAAAATATTGTTTATTTTAAACCCCCTTTTCCTGATTACAAAAGTGATACATCACTGTAGAAACCTTTTGTAAGTGCCGATGTAAAATAAAAAACATTTTCGAGAATAAAACTCATCTTTAATCCACCACTTCAGGAGAACTGGGCTTGCCTGGTGGCGTAGTTGTTAAAGAATCTGCCTGCAATGCAGGAGATGGTTCGATTCCTGGGTCAGGAAGATCCCCTGAAGGAAATGGCAACCCACACCATTATTCTTGCCTGGAGAATTCCATGGATGGAGGAGCCTGGTGGGCTATAGTCCCATTGTCTGTGTGCCTGCACACACACACACACACACACACACACTCATGAAAACTTATTTCTATTCTGTCACATGAGCTTGTGTGACATCCCAAACATTTTAAGAGCAAGCATTTAGTTCAAGGTCTGCACTGGGCACCATCCTGGTGCCTAACCCCGAGCAGCTCAATGTGTGCAGTGAGGTGGTTCCTGTTTCCAACAGCACGTCCAATGGCTCGGGCGGGTGGGGGGGGGGGGGGGGTTGTGACCTGTGCTGGGGAAATGGATGGGGAGGAGGGGACCAGACATGGTCCGAGGCTGGGCCACCTCCTGGCCCTCTACACTTGCAGCAGCCTCAGGGGGAAGCACTGGCTAAGCCTCCTGGGCTGAGAAACCTAAAAGCCCTGTGCAGCGTGCGAAGCTCCCTACAGGTCAGGGTGGGATTTTATTCTTGTTTTGGGGCTTTTATAGGTATTTGCCTCAGGTACACCACTAGAATCTGCAGTGAAAACCCCAACACCGTAGTATGGTATGCTCACAGAAAAGACCTGTCCTACTGATGCTAACACAAGCTCCAGGGATGCTCTGGAGAAAAGGGGCTCTGGGCACGGCTGGGAGGAGAGAAGATGGCTTCACTTTCTGAGTGTGCCTTACATGCTGGTTGCTGGCCTTATAGCCAGGCAGGGCGGGCGGTCACATCAGGTGGAGGATTTGCTGGTAACTTACATAACTATGAGGGGCATCCCTGATAGCTCAGCTGGTAAAGAATCTGCCTGCAATGCAGGAGACCCTGGTTTGATTTCTGGGTCAGGAAGATCCCCTGGAGAAGGGATAGGCTACCCACTCCAGTATTCTTGGGCTTCCCTTGTGGCTCAGCTGGTAAAGAAACCGCCTGCAATGTGGGAGACCTGGGTTAGATCCCTGGGTTGAGAAGATCCCCTGGAGAAGGGAAAGGCTTCCCACTCCAGTATTCTGGCCTGGAGAGTTCCATGGTCCATGGGGTGGCAGAGTCGGACACGACTGAGCGACTTTCCTTTTCATACATAACTATGAGCCATACAAGGAAACACCTCGACTGCCA